AAAATATATTTAATTATTCATTAGAAAATTTTCTCACTGCATCCAGATTGATTGATGAATATACCAATCAGGCTCTAACTTTCTAATTTTTGTGGGGATGAAAAATTAAATTAAAAACTTGTTTGGTCTAATGTAATCATGTCTACCAATCTGAATACAGTGAGAAGGTAAAGAAAAACCTATATCCAAGTCAAACTGTACAAAAGTGTTATTTTTTGCAGTTTGGTTAATAAAGTTTTCATTTTAATCTGAATAATGCTTGAAAATGTTTTGCTTTCTTTTATGTTTTATTTATTGCATTTATTTCACAATAGTTGGGAATATGTTACATATGTCTCTTTTCATTGATTATTTTGTAAGAGTTTAGCTGAGTAAATTAGATGAAGTATTAACATAGTAGTATTAACATTGTAGTGACATTGCATAGACTAACATTGTAACGCATTGTACTAACATTGCAACTGATTTCTTATCTAATATGTCAAATAAAGGATATCCATATTTAGATATTTTCTGAAAGGAATTTATGATGTAAATAAGTATTAGAAACACCCATTTTCTGGGCAATTTTTTTTTTATTTATCTCCAACCACATTTGGCATTATTTCATTAGTGCCAATTTCATACCATGCAATGATGGAATCAAATATAGCAACTCTATCAAATTTAAATTTTACCTGTAAAGCAGACATTTTTTAACTTTAAAATACAGTTCACAAAAGAAAATACTGCAGATTTATATAAAATCATTTCACCTAGGCAGCAATTTTATACCTCTACGTAAAATTAAAAAAAGCAACATGAATCCATTTTCACAAATCTTCTTTAAAAGTCTTCTGAATGATAAAAGGTAGAGAATATTTAATTTTGATGCATCTTCTTCAAAAATCTTTTGAAGCCATCATCATTGGCAATAGCAATCCAAAAATGCTTGATATCAAAAGCACACATAAAATTTTAAAACAACTACATACTAAGGTGAATTCAGATTCCATTTCAAAACGTATCCCTATAAAACCCGAAGATTATATATATATATATATATATAAAACTTTAATACAATAATATTGAAATTATACTCCTCCTATTCCACATTTAGGTTAAAGCCACCTTAAAAAACCAGTAATATTTACAATAGAGAAATTTCATTTCGGATGTTTGAATAATCTTTTCTGTTTATAGGTATTTTACAAATGCAAGCCAAGTTAGCGGTTGTTGATTGTATCATTGAAGTTCATGATGCTAGAGTATCCTTTTTGTGGCTTATGTAATTTTACATTTTTTGTCAATATTCTACTCAATTTTATCATTTTTTTTTTATTTTTATGTTAAGTTGTATCTGTTTAATCTTGACAAGCTCTTTATTTTTTAAATGCCATGAACAATGGAACTAGTATAATGAGATACATGGAACAAATCATTTTACTCCTTAAATCATTGAATTCATTAAACACAAGTTGTTTGGAATTATCAAAAAAAGTTATTATACTAAAATGATTAAATTTTTCAGTTGTTCTGTGTACAAAACATCTACAAGATGCTCTCAAGGTTTTCTTCTGCCTGAAAAAAAAAATAATCCCTTCAGTCTCCTTGTTTCTGAAAATTATAGTCTCTTGCTGGCTAATTGACTCTTTATCACAGCTCCGCTTGGTGGCTCTGATTTTACCTATATAATTCGTGATGGCGCAGGCTTCATTCATAACAATAAAATATTAAGCATAAAACTAATTAAGAAACTACATTTTAACTCTTTATTAAATATGGTATTTTATAAAAAGGTTTTCAAATCATGCTATAAAAGTTTTTCTTGCAATACTTTAAGAATCTACTATTTTAATGTTTTTGAAATATCAATTGCATTGAAAAATAGAAAATTTCTTTAGTATCAGTCAAAATTCCTTTCACGCACCACAAAAGCTGGAGCAACAACGATCAGGCAGTAGGGACCAACTTGACTACATCTTATGTATAGCAACATCTTTGATTGTTCATTGCAGTGACTATCTGCAATTTCTTATCAATCAATTCTGGTGTATCTTTCCATGGTTTAAACTAGTTGTGTAATTTATAGCGTAAGAGATGAGGAACAACAATTTGTTTCCTTTCATTGTTTATCGATACATAGTTTTTGAACAATTAAATTAAAGAAGTGTTTTTATTTCTGGAATATTTTGTTTTCTGATTGCCTCCATAAGGATTCTTAAAAAAAGTTTAGGAAAAATTTCTTACTACTAGTAACAAAGTTTTATATAAATTTTTTAATATTTAGCTGGCAAGTTTTTTTTTTTAAAAAAATCTTCTTGTTGTATTTAGCATTCCATTAAACTAGAGGTACCCAATGTATTGATATGTCATTTTATTAAATATTTTGTTCTTAATTCACTTATAGATTCCTTTTAGCGGTCGTAATCCAAAATTCTATTCTATGCTTACTGCAGTGAAACCTCATCTGTTAGTTTTAAACAAATGTGATAAAATAGAGTACTCCTATCGAAAGAAAATCAAAGACAGGCTTTTAAAGGAAAATATCCAAAATGTATTATTTACGAATTGTAAAGCCAATAAGAAAAGTGGAGTTGATAAAGTAAGCCATGTGTATCTTCTTTTGTCCTTTTTTATATATTTGCTAAGATTGTTAAATTTAAGCACAGAACTATAAAGCTTGTTCTTCACTACTACATTAATTGTAAATATGTTCTACTACATACGTAAATACATTCTACTACATTAATTGTAATTGTAAATAATAAATACTTTTTAATGACTATTAACTATTTTTGATTTTAATGATGAATGAATTCATACATTTATTCTGAATGGATTAATACATTTTGGAATTGTGTCAATATTGTGTATTCGTAAATATTACCCAAACTATCCCAAAATTTTAATCTTTTTATTTAATTCAATATGAATTGACATATTGAATATAAAATTGTTCTTTAAATATAAAGCAATATAAATTAAATAAAATAAATTATATATTATATTAGTTTAATTTATAAATTAAAATAATATAATATATAATTAATTTAATTTAATATATTAGTATTATATGAAAATTATATAAAAATATTATGTAACAATTTAATATAAATTAAAATATTATAAAATTGTCCTATTATTCAAAACATTTAAAATTGCCATTAAATTGTGTTTTCCATAATATTATGTTTAAACAACCAATGTTTGATTTTATGAGTTTTGTTATTCTTTACCTCTGATTAGTATCAAACTGAATATGGCTAGATTATGGTTTTCAAATGTAATCAACAATTTTTCTATAATTAGTTCTGAAGATTATTTTTTCAAAGAAACTATTTACAAAGAGAGACTGCAATTGCAGCACAATAACAGTCTTGCCAGTCTTTATGGTGGGCTTAAGATAATTTTTCTTATCTCCGATACATTATTATATATTATTGAAAGAAATTATTTTCTTTCTTTTTTACATCTGATTACATTAAACAAATGATTGTTAATATTAAATGAATAAGACTATTGTTTCTTTCCATTCATTTCTGGCAGGTCTTAACATAGTCTTGAACGTGGTTGCCTATTTTTTAGTGTTTGAAACATCATGCAGAATTTTATTTCTGCCTACATATATTTAAAGTCAATGAAGTTTTTTAATACGTAATGTGATTGTATTATTTATGAATTTTTTGTTAATTGTTTGAATTTTTTTCTGTGTAATTTTCTTATACATCTATTTCCAAAGTTTTCTCAAGGTTTTCACAAAAAAAAAAAAGGTTTTTGAACATATAATACAATAAAATTTTTTAAAAAAATGAACTTTTCTTGGGGATAAATGTTTAGATCACCATTCTAGATTATCTTGCGAAAGATCTCCCTTTTTAGTGCAAATGATGAAGGTGTTAATTTAAACATGAATTTTGGACATACTTATGATGAGGAATGAGGCCTGGTAGCTAACTGTTAGTGCTTCATGTTGCCATGCCACAGGTCCAGGGTTCTCTCCTCGAACCCTGCAATGCCGACCGAATCTTTCATTCAGCGAGTCAATAAAATGCATGCTTGCTGTCTAAGCACTGGGAATTCTGTGAACAGGCTGACCACCTGACTGAAACATCATTCTGCTTCTGCACAACAGAGCTTAAGGTCTAGAAAACGGGTGAGCACAGTAGGCCTCAATCCACCATGGGCTGTCACACCATTGAATTTAGTTTAGTTTTTAATAATGAGGAATAGTGTTTTAAATTAAATAATCAATAATTTTTAAAAAGTTACTTTACCCAATAGTAAAAGAATACAAAATATTTAATTCCAAATTGACAAAACATTCTTTGAAAGATATGCGCTTAAAAAGCAGCAGAATTTTCAAAAGAAAGAGCAAATAAAGCAATAAAGAAAATGAAGGAAATAAAAATATGACCACCGAAGCCGACGTCTTCAGGGGGTACCGGCCTCGGAAGCCATAAAACAAAACCTTTTCTATTGAGAGAGAGGCAAAATTAAATGCCAAAAGTAACTCTCTCAGTACCCCGAAGGTTTTGTATAAGTCCAGGAAAAATTACATGAAATACATAAAACCTTTTCTGAATTGGTTTCTGAGTTTACTCCTTGGTATTATATTTCACTCCTTTAAAATGACTAAAGGAGTAAATTACTGTTAATTTTTTTTATTTCAGATAACTGCTGACATGTGGTATTAGAATTTATTTCCTCTGTATCAGTATTTTTCTTTCTCCTCTCTTTTTGTTACATAATATTTAGTTTCTTATAAATTTCAATGCCAAAATAAGGGATATATTTTTTTCATTAACTAGACAAGTTTTAAAATGTTGCATTTATAAGTGATCTGTACTTTACAGCATATTATTCATGCATATTCTACTTAACTCATGTGTATGTTAGTTCTATCTAAAAATTTATTTAATAAATGAACAGGAAAATTTAAATACATTATGAAATTTAAAAAAAAAACTAACATTATTTTGTGTTTAGTATTCCTAAATTTTAATAATTGTTAATTTCAGATTATTCCAACTGTGTTGGAGTTAATTGAGATGTCTTCAAAGTATCAAAAAGGTATGGTAAGTAAGCTTCTTTTATTTTACTGTTAAGGTATACTTTGTTGCATTGCTCTTATGTATGATGTTTTTTTACCACCAAATTCTTTAATGTTATTTTATTTGATTATTTTTGAAATGATGTACAAATTTCTTGGTTATGTTTTATTTCTATTATAAAGTATGTTAATTAATTTTTTATTAAATGTTCACCTTTTCTGAAAAGTCTGATTAAAAATGAATTTATTCAAGTATATCAATGATGTGCATTTTTAAATGTTTACAAAAAAGAATGGCATAATCCCTTTTGTAGGGATGCAGAAATTTCTCAGATTCTTATATATCCTCAGAACAGAGTTTTTTAGGTTTGATTTCTCACAAAATTACAGCATTTTTTTTCCTTCAAATTTTTAATAACTTTTCAAAATACTATAGAATGTAAAGTTTGTATAGTGATAAAACTTTTTAATAATCTTTTCTTTATTAAAAAGGAAAAGAATTTCATCTGATCTTGCACAATTCAGTGTTAAAAATTAACCTAGGTGTTTAAAATAATCAAAATGAAAATGTATTGAATTAGTAATAATTTATAAGACTAAATTTAAGGTTCCACTCAAAATCTTAGGAAGACTTAAGGCTTTTTGATGACTTATTCAATTAGAAGCCTTTATTGAAGAATATTGTTAATTAACGTCATTTCTTTCATGCACAGTGTAAGAAACAGTTCTTCTCTAAGTTCTCCATTTTTCATTTGTTCTAAAAAAATTTTTGTTATGCTTTTTGTTGATTAAAAGGAATGGAAAACTGTCTAAAATAAGCATTTACATTTTGAGGGAACAATTGAATTTTGTTATTAATTTCAAAATGTCTATAAATCTTAGTAGTTGATAGCCAGGAGACAGATTTTTAAATTGCTTGAATAGAAGCAAGATGTTTGATTTTTTTAAATTGTGTAAATATTAACCGCAGTATGTAATTTTGATATTGCATGAATACAATTCAGAATGCGCTACTTTTAAATCACACAAATATGAAATGCAATGTTTGATTTTAAAATCTTGTGAATACAAATCACAATATTGGATTTTAAAAATGTGTGACTATGAATTATCACTTTTGATTTTCAAATCATGTTCATTTGAATCATGAGTAATTTTAATACGCAAGAATACGAATCAGGATGTCTAATTCTCAAATCATGTAAATACAAATCGGGATATTGGATTTTAAAAACGCGGGTATACAGATCGTGATTTTTGATTTTTAAATTGCATGTATCATGACATTTGGTTTTTAAATCATATTTATTAGAATATGAATCTCAACATTTAATTTCTTTAAACCACATGGAATTGTGTCTCTGTAAAGTGTGTTAAAGTGTCTTTACTTATTGAAGGCCTCAAATAAATCCTGTCATAGAAGAAGAAAAACGAGACTTTTTTTGTAAAAGCTGAAACTTAATTTCTCTTTCAAAGTGGAAAAAAATCAGTGCTGAAATTAACATGTTTGATTTTGGATATTCAAATAAAAAGAAAATACTCTGATTCTGATATTTAACTAAAGTACAACCCATGCAGGCTTTTTTTAAACAGGAAAAAATTTTGTAAAGAGACAAATTTTTTGTACAATAAAAATTTTGTAGCACTTTTTTTTGATTATTTTTAATTTGATCAAAAACTTTCCCAGAGCTGCCTAAATTTTCCCTGTACTTTTTTTTTTTTTTTTTGTATGAGTGGACATATTCTATATCATGATAGTGAGTTTAAATATTTATTTTGGTGTATATATCATGTGCATGCATCTTAAAGAATGATTTCAGTAGAATTTCAGTCATTTGAGTGTGGGGTTTCTCTTAATCTCAATATCCATATAATGACTTATACTTATATGACTTTATATGACTTGAGAAAGAATTAACCATTCATAACAAGGGTTCACGTCCAAGAGTGGAGGAATTAAATTGTGATGAAATTCTTGCAATGTTTTTATCATGGCATCTCATTTCAGCCCATGGATCAAAATGTTGCGATGCTTATGAACATATCCTCGTAGATGACTACATTGCTTAAGAAAATACTTCACTGCAGATTTCTACTAACCATGAAAAAGCATATAACTCTGCTGAAATTTAAAAATTGTTTTATTTTTATTTGGTTATCCCATTTACCTCCAATTTAAATTAACAAAACTCTGCCGTATTATACTACACTTCACTATAATAACATTTAGATTGTCATATCTTATAGCATAGATTAAATTTTTGACAATCATTTTCTGGCAAAACATTTTATATATTTTTAAATTTCAATTTTAAAGTTCTTTTACTTGTACTAAGCACTTTAAAAAGCAAAANAAAAAAAAAAAAAAAAAAAAAAAAAAAAAAAAAAAAAAAAAAAAAAAAAATTATTGCTATATAAATGTATTTTAGTATTGTAATTTTATATTTATTTATTTTTTAAGTTTAGTTATTTAATTATTATATTTATTTCCTTATTTATTGTTTTGTGATCTCTATGTTAATCCGGCTGCATTTAAATTTAAGGCTGCTGATTTTGCTCTAATGGTGATAGGAATTCCAAATGTAGGAAAATCTTCTGTAATAAATAAACTCAGAAATATTCACCTAAAAAAAAGTAAGGAAGAGCAAAAAAGTCTTAATTTTTATTGCTAGTTTTGTATTATTTAATCAAAAAGTATGATCCTATTAATTTATTTTAAAGAAAAAGCTTCACACGTGGGGGCTGTTCCAGGCATCACTAAATCTGTTTTGGAGAAAATTAAGGTATGTAATATTTTCTTCATTAACTCTTTATTTGTATATAATTGAAATATAAATAGTTTGTATTACAATTCTTTTCAATATTCTCAAAAAATGAAATTTTCAAATTTTGAACATGGCTGTAGACACCAATGAACTGGTTATATCAAAGAGTTGATACGTTAAGATTTATATTTTGTTTCCTTTTTAGTCAATAAAGTAAATAATTTGGCATTCTACAAAATATGTACAGTAGAGAACCAATTATCCGGGATGCTCGGGACCATCGCTATCCCGGATGTCTGGATTTCCCGGTTTTCTGGATCGACCAAAAAGTGTCGTTAATCGATGTTTTATCGAACCCGAAGTACAAGGAAAAAGTGTAATGCATAAAGTAAGAGAAAAAAGAAAGGTACTCCTAACTTTAAAAAGAAAAAAAAAAGGTAGAAATATAACATTTAAAAGAATAAAAAAATTTGCAAGTTTAGACAAGAAAATCAAGTTTAAAAAATACAAAATTCTCATATTTATTTTTTAAAAATAATTACAATTCCTAAATTAAATAATATAAACAAAACCAATGATTAAATAACGCAATATATTTCATACCTAATTATACGGGGGGAAACGATAAAATAAAAGGAAAACTTATTAATCTAAATAAAAACACTTGAAAATTATCGAACCGAAACGATAGTTAAAAAAGGCACTAGCATAAATATTAAAACCCGGAACAAGGCAAGATCAACGGAATTTAAAAAAAAAAACCTAATGATAAAATTTATGAATAAAAAGAATTAATTTATTGAGTGCGAAATTTATCGCGAAAAGAAAAAAAATCAAACGTAGTGGAATCAGAAAAACAAAACTGCAATCTGCTTCATAAAATAATCCTATGTTTAAATTAATAAACAATTCTCCTTTTATTTTATTTTTTTTTTTGTTGATAAAAACAAGATTTTTAATTACAGCAGATGTGATTCCACACCAAGAAAAACTTGCAATTGATACCGCTCTTCCAAAGAATGAGAATTTATTCAAAAGAAAAAGATTTTATTTTTATTAGTCGATGTCAAATAAATATATTTTTCTCTTTTCTTTTCACTGATACGCATGCAATGCATTTCCCCCACCCCCCTCGTAAATCAAGCAGAAAACGAAATCAGCATGCCACACCCTTGAGTTTGATTGACGGCCTAAAGGAAAAAAAAATCTTCCCCTTCCTTACATTTTCCTCTACTCAACTTCAAGGATGAGTCCAATTTCCGCTTTTTTCGTTCTAGTTTAAAATGGCGGGAAATTCGAGCAAAATTTTTTCCGGTTTTCTGGTTTCCCGGTTATCTGGATACCGGATAAATGGTTCTCTACTGTATCATGTAAATTATTCAGAAAGAGAACAAATGACAGGATCAAAATAGTTTATTATGAAACATTTACAATATAGTAAAACAATATAGTTTGCAGCAATTTTATTCTTTTGTTCTTAGTGTTTTATTTACATTTTCTTACCTTTAAAGTAGCATTCTAATATGTACAGCTATTTATCTTTTTATTTCAATTACATTTTTTGTACCACATCGCTTTGTTTTTGACAGCATTTGAAGATTATTGAATTTCCATTTAATATTGATTTTACCAACATTTCAACTTTTGAAATTAAATATCTGACTGAAATTTCAACTTTAGTTTCTTTCTGCAGTGATTAAAGGAAATTTTTTCGATATTATTTATATGAGAAAGGATTAAAATAAAAGTAATAATTTTTAAATTTTCAAATTGTAAATTTTTTTTTCTGGTTAGGAAAAAACACATCACAAAGAATTCTAGCAAAAAAATTAATTAATTGAAGAAGGTCTTTTTTTTTCTTTCTTATTTTGAGAATTGAAAATTCATTAGAAAGTACATTGGGCATAAAGATTGCTTGCTGACATAAAAAAAATCAATGGTCTTTCATATTGTTTTTAAAAGGGCGAACTGTATAACTATATTTATCTTTGAAATTCAACAGAACTGTGAAAAGTAAAAGACCATTTGTTATTTGCTAAAACTGTTACGTTAATTTTATTTATTTATTTTGTGACAAATATCTTTGCCTTACTAAATTCTGAAATTTATTATAAATTATTTAATATACTTAACCAAATTATTCTAAAATATAGACTAGAATAATTGATGTACTCATATACTATATTTTATCACATAGTTATGATGATATATTTTTCTGTTGGGAGTTAGGGTTTGATTGTGCATTATAAATTTTATTTGCATGTTGTACCTTGTTTGAATTATTTCAATTTTTAAAAATTTAAATGTGCAGCACTACATTTTTAAAAAAAAAATTCTTTTTTTTTTCATTTTGAAATTGTTTAAAGAAATGAATTTAGACTGTCATTGAATTTCCCTTCCCCATATATAATATGGTTATTAATTTTTTTTTTATTGAAACTAAAATAAATTAATCAAAATAATTATAAGTTTGCATTTTTAAATTTAAGGAAACTACTAGGTTGATGTTCCAGTTTGGCTATTATTTCTGGGTCCCCCCCCCCCCCNAGTTTTTTTCCCGTAGATTATATCTGTTTTTGTTTATCTTGAAATTAATAAAGGTAAACATTTTATGATGTTGCAGTTTTTATTTTTCTCAGCATATTATAAAATTGTGAAAGCACTTTTTTCTAATAAGAATTTCAACACTAAGTGTTGCTTGATGATCCAAAACATAGAATAAAACACCATGTTTATAAGCTAAGTCATTCTAAATTTAAAGAAGACTCAAATGTTTAAAACTTAGAAATTTATACCTTTAGACAGACCAAATTTATTTTATATTTTTCAAAAATGTTACTTTTCCTCTTATTTAAAGGCTAAACATATTTTGAATTATTTTGTGTTTCATATCAAGTATAGCTATGATTTTTTATTCTGCATTTTAGTCAAAGTTTATAAATGTAGTTTTAAATAAGTGTCCTTTTTTAAAATGTTAAAAATTTTCTAAAGTGCACTTAAAATTTTTTTCTTTTTGAGTAAAATCCATTTACTTTTTCAAATTGTTAAAAACTTTTTACAAAAGTATTGTGAATTAGTTTTTGTATGTTTTTTTAAATTTGATTTAAGAGTGGAAAATTAAAAAAAATAATAATTAGTGTATAAATAAATAAAAACTTTGTTAAATTCTCTGTAATACTCTATTCTGAGTTTTTAAAATCTTTATAAAATAAACTAATTTTTAATAAACTAATAATTAACTTATGTTTCACAGTACCTAGTGCTTTTAGCAAAATTATTAAAATCATTTTAAAAATACTACTTTTATTTTTGATTCAAGTATTTTGTAAAAATAAAAACCCATCAACAAAAAATGTAAAGTTTTCATAATTTTGTTTTAGATTTGAAACATTTGTAAATTTTGAATTACATTAAAAGTTAAAATAAATCTAGCATAAAAAAGGCTTAAAAATCTCTTATAAATTGAGTTTTTAAAAATAACAGATATTGAATTAACAATATAGTAAATAAAGTATAATAATAAATAAAGCTTTCAGAGTTTAAAACATCAACGTTATTGGATTGTTTTACTAAAATAATATATTTATTGTGCTCTTATAGATTATTAGCTTTTTGAAAGTAAGTGCTCATGAAATTTAAAATTTTCTAATTTACTAGTATATTTACAAACTTTTGGATGATATTGTTTTTGACGCACAGGGATAGAGTTTCGTGCTTATGCTAGCCACAGCAGGCAAGAAGCAGAGCCCTCCTTTTAATAATATTTTATATTTTATTTTCTAATATCAATCTAGTCTGTTATATTTTTTATTTATTTACTAGGAGGCTTCGTCCCCTTCTCGCTAGCGCTCGCCAACCCCCGGGACTGCTTCATTTCGGATTGCTTCGCAATCCAATGCTCGCTCATTGGATAGGTTTTTAACGTCTAACTTTTGTATACTTTTTTGATTACTGAAGTTCTGAAAACTTTTCACTGTGGAAAATTCTAAACCTGTACATTTCAATATTAATTTGAATATGCAAACATCTCACATGTTTTTCTTAATCGCACTATTCTAAATTTCAGTTGTTGAGAAAAGTAACTGTTATAAGTTTTGTTTTAAAGTCCTTCCCACCAGAGGGCTAAAACCATGTGTTGTAAAACAATATGAAATAGTACTGAACGCCGGATGTAAAGCATCGGCTTCGATGAAGATAATTTTGTGAGAATTTTTTTGATAATTCGGTGAGAATTCACCCGATTAGACATATGATGCTCACTACGTGCTCTTGCGCGCCGAAGCCTATCAATTAAAA